AAGCGACTGGATCTCAATAATTGTCACGTTTGCCAGTTATGTCTATATGGGTTGCTCATTCAACTTCGTCAATATAACAGAACCTTAAACAACTGTCATACATGTGATAGGTTTAGCTTGCTATAAAATTAGGTTTAACCCACCATTTTCTTCGGAAAATGTCTGTACCAAAGTCAGGACTATGACAGTTGCTTTCCATTTGTTCCGTTGGTTGATATCGTCGAGCGTTTGATTTTGTCAGGTTTTATAGACTTCCCCCTTTTTTAAATTTACCCTGGAGTTCAGTATTTTTGTTTATACTTTTTATCCAACGTTGAAGGTGATTTCGTTTTTTTAAAATGAGTATTTATGCCACTGGACATTGTAAGTCGGTATTTTGTTATGCTATTTTAACATGGTTTTGCCATTTTTAGCTTGGTTTTCCTATTTTAGCTTGGTTTTGTTGGTTTAAAGTTTTCACTTCGGTACAAAGGCTATTTTCAGGGCCAGGTCAATCAGCTAAACATTCCACCCAGCATATCAATCCATAAAGTCAATGCATAGGCGACGACGAAGTTAACTTCAGGAAGCCTAATGGTATATACTTTATTCGGCTTTGAAAGGCAACTATTGCAGACAAACTTTGTAACACCAACAAAAAACTAGGAAACATATTATGAATGACTGATAATCAGGTTTGACACGTCCGACCAGTTTAATGAATGAAGAAATTACTATATATTTTCTGTGGGATTCTCAAGTTAGTTATTATTTTAAGTTCATGATTCTTGGCAGAATAGGAACTCCGATTATCCGTTTAATTTTTACTTTTTCGATGCATACATTGAAGTTTTAAAACTTCAATTTCGTATTTGGTGTAGATATTTGGGAGAGTTGAAATTATAAGTAGCGTTTTGTTGAGGTTGAAATGAATGTTAACAGAACGATTTGTCCTGGTGTAAGAATATAAATTGAATTGAAGGTTTCTGGTATGTGTTTTTGATACAAATTTTTTCAGACATTCAGATATCCCCTTTGTATTTGGGATGCGGTGACTAAAACATGGGAAAGTACAATTACGTTGTTCTATTGCAATCATTTTTTCTTAGTTAACTTTTATTTAATCTTATTTTTTTTCTGGCCTCCATCCCCCCGACAAAAAAATAATTAAATAAAAATAGATAAGAGTCCAGGTTCGCATTCACATTTTTGTGATTTTTATATACAGAATAACTGCCCTTCAACTTGATAAAAGTATAGATTTTAGACCTTTCCATGTATAATGCGTCTCTGATACATAATGGTCCCTACACTGAAGTCTCATCAGTTGTTCCTTGTATTTATAACTGAAAAATACTCATTGCAATCTTACTGTAGAATGTCAAGGTTTACAGTATAAATATAAGGAGGTGTGATATGATTGCCAATGAGACAAGTATCCACCATAGTTCAAGCAATTATAGGCAACCGTATGGCATTGTTTTAAATTTTGTGTAAACATTCGTTTATTGTTCAAGGTGTCTATTGGTTTTCTGAGTCAATCGATTGTGGTGTTATAGAGATCGATGTTGTTGCAGGCGATAGGTAGGCAATAATACCAAAAATTAACTTTGCATAATTTACTTTGGTCCAAATTACTAGCATGCTTCAATATTGGATGACCAGAGAGTTGACCGGGTTTAGAGGATCGCCTCGAAACGACACCAGAAGCGAACGTGGTTGCCTGGAAAATCGACAAAATTTGTCTCTTTGTCTGTCATATTTACAGATATGATAAAATGTATATGTTTTGTTCTAGATACAATAATTAAAAATACTTAAATGGGTTATTATTAACACAATCATGTAGCTCTACACATTGAATAACCTGCCTCAGATCCGATTTTTTTTCTCAAAAAGGGGAGTTACAAACGATTAATATATGTTGAGGGAAAGGTAGATGGGGTAGCCATATAAATAAGTCAAATTCCCAACCATATACTAGAAAATAAACATATCAAAGAAACGTCTACTAGGTCGTCAACCATAAGTCGTAAAACAAAATCAACATACACTATATACTATGTATTATCTCTTTAATTTCAGCCATGTTAATATTTTATATGAATTTCCGAGAGAAGAAAAAACAATTGTATTAGGAAATAAGTCACTAAAATTCTTTCAATTTGAAACCAATTAACATGAAGCAAAGGAGATATTATGTATATCAATGAGACAGCAACCCAACGACAAAAATAACCAAAAGACATTTAGAAGTCAATATTCAGTCTTCCAACATATCTGGACTATGCCAATCCCTAAATCTTTAATAAAAATTGTGACAAAATTTAACAGAACTACATTAACCATGTTTTGAATTTCTTTTTTAGTAAAGAAACCAAGTGATTACAAACGACATTAACTGTAATATGTGAATATGACGTAGATCGTACGGAAGACTTTGCCAATCCTAAATATTTTGATTTAAAGATTTTAATATTCAATTTTGCAGGAGTCATCAAAGACTTAATAAGAGAATCTTATCATAATATAAAGACGTTTTCACTTCCACGTTTATAGAACAGAGACATTCAATTCGTTTGTAATTTTCTTAAATAAAGTTTCTTGTATTTGAATATCTCCATTCATTCAAATTATTAAAGTGTTTTAACTTTAAATCACTTTTAATTCAAGAGATTGATAAGTTTACATCAAACTGATTTGAAATCTTTTTTGTTTTAAGCACAAAATCAACGTGCAAAACCAATACAGTATACATTCTTTGGTAATGACAACGATCTTGAAATATGCTTTTTGTTCCCAAAACTAAAACTGAATAATATAAATGCTCCTTGTTGTTATCTAGAAGTATTTTATGGAACAATTTGTCTACAAATTTAAAACAATGTAACACAATCGAATCTTTTTAAAAAAATATATATATTTAAGAATGTTTTGTTTAGTTTCAATAACAGTATAATATAGTTTAATATTTGTATTAGTATTTTTATTATTGAATTTGATACTTTTTGTTGTTATATATGTATATATTGCAGGACCTTATTGTAAAATCGTCTTTTGACTAAATATGTTATCCTGTTGAAATAAAGGAAATTATTATTATTATCATATTCTGCTTGCCGAAGTAAATAAGCATATGGGAATTTTATTCAGCAAGCCTTCAAATGTCCATAATATCACGAAGACATGGGATAGTATCTACACAAAAATAAATTCTTCAAATACTGGCTGAAGGCCATATTTGTTGTTTTTATTTCGACTTAGGACATGGTAACTTGTAGGACTATCCTAAGATACCTATGTATATATCCTAACTTCAGGACCAAATTTATGACAAATCTTATATTAGAAGACTATTGTTAACTATTATTCACATTATATCCATCACTGACATGGTTCCCTCAGATAATCTGAAATAACTTTTGGAATGATTAAATTATAATAAAAAAAAGTTTTCCATAAGAATTGCGAGTAACTGAAATAATTTAAAACTTGGAGATGAGAATAAATAAGGAGTATAATGATATTAAATCACCACAGACGAAAATGGCGCATATATTTACTGCAACTAGAGAAATATATACAATATATATGTGTCTCTGGTTTAACATATGCTCTGAATATTCCCTTATACCAGAAATGGTTGATAATCTGACCCAATGGGCTGTTCAATATGTATAGTGCTACATGACATGAGTCAGTTTTAATGTATCGTATATATGTGTAGAAAATTGCCAGTGGATCCCAGCTGATATATAAATTTTATTATTGGGGTAGATTAACAGCACTGTAGTTTGTAAAAAATGTGGCACTTTGTAATAAGTTTTAAAATATTTTTTCAAAATTAGTTTTCATTCAAATGTCCAATTTAGGAGAATGTAGATCTTTTTTTTTTTTTTTAATTTTCTTTATTTTACAACAAAATGATAATTATGACAATTTTGTTCTTCCATTCTGGTATATTCTTTATTATGTGTTACAAGTGCCTTTCCATATCAACCCACGTCTGCGCGCGCTTTCTACTATATCATATCATGTTCATTACAAACTGCTACAAAACAAATATGTGGTGTAAATCTAGAGAACAACGTTTTTACGTGGAAACGCTGTGAATTGTGTTGAATTTATGGAAGCAGGAACCTATTTAAAAAAAAAATTGTCCAATTTTCCTATTTTTATGATTTGTATACTATATGTCTCAGTTCTTATGATTATCTTTTCATCTTTTGGGTATTAATTCATCGATATTTTATAAACAATTATTGCTTATTCGTATCGTATAGGGCTGAGACTACTTTACTATGTGTTATTGTAGTCTCAGTATAGGGTAACTATTTTTTTTCTGTTTCTGACCATTATTCTCTACTCATTACACCTCATCCGATAGCTATTACATGTAGATCGAAAACTTTGAAATAAACTTTTTGAAAAGTTATGTTTGCCGATTTATTATAAGAAAAAGCTTCCTCTAATATGTTTCATTTGTGACAGTTAAAAAAATATTCGAAGACGGTCACTGCGGTCATACGTTGTTATAATTAAAGTGGATAAACTGAATAAATTAAAAAAGGCGGAATACTCTGCAAATTAAAAAGACAACTCTATCGAATGTTTGTAACTAGTTTTTTCCCTTTTAAAAAGTTCTAAGTATCGTAGGTCAGAGTATAATATCTCTACGCCCTGGTCAAACAATAAAATTAATAATGTAATTTAATGTATAGAATTTTTGTAATCATTTAACAGTTTTTATGTAACACTTGACACTGTCATGACAAAAAATAACGTTTTTTTTTATTTTGTTATTAATTGTTAAAGTCTTGGTTAGTAAAGTATATTGCGGAAAATTATATCGAGAATTTGTGCCAGATCAAAGAAATTCCGGTCAAGTACAGTATGGCCGTCAGGAGGTTATCCAATCAAACAGCGCGAGATAATGAGGAAGGCGTGGTTACTTCTACTATGACATTTTATATCCATAAACTTCTTGTGTATCAATAAAACTGACAACCTTCAAATTTCAGGTAATAATAAATTGAAAATGAGGAAAGTCTGCAATTGATTTACCTGTCAAATATCTATCTATTTCGAGATACAGTTTTTTCCGTGTTTTAGTGAATTTCCAATTTTGTGCGATTCGAACGAACTTATTTTAAAATTTGTATGGACAAATAGTGTATTTTGACTGTACTATGGTTTTATGTCAGGAGACACCTTCAAACTCAATGTATCAGACAAGAACATCACCCCCAGCTAACTACAATTTTGGACATTTTCCAGGATACGTTGGACAAAATGGACATTATGCTAGTCAACCCCATGGGTTTGAACAGTTTAACATTGACCCATCATCGGCCTTCCAACAAGCACAGTGTTATCCAATGTATGGCCCTGGTGTGTCGCGCCCAGAAGAATGGAATGGTACGGGAAATATGAACTATTCGGCAATGAACAATGCATCTGGTTCTGTCAGTCCGCATTCCATGAACGCTATGTATCAATACAGAAATGATTATGTCCAGACCCACTGCGGCAATGGAAACATGAATAATATGTCTACGTCACCACAGCCAACGGGGTCCCCTACTACATCAACTGGGTCCAGTGGGAGCAACGGTTCACCTTCCAACAAACAGATTAGACCCCCGTATGATTGGATGAAGAAAACCTCGTATGTTCCAACGGGTCCACAACCAGGTGAGTAAGACAATTAAAAGTTAATTTACTTCTATCATATGTTTGTTTATGCAGTTTTTATATAATATGGGTATTTTTTCTCTCCACTTTATGCTAAACAGATTAAGTGTTTCTTGTTGACCCTCAGCAAATGGAAAATGATTGACCCCCTTTAACAACAGTATTAATACAAATATAACTCCGTGATGTACCCGTAAAAAATATTTTATTCGTAAAGATGTAAACAGACCATTATTTCGAGGTACATATTTGTATAAAATTACACAAATAAGGCTGACCAGTGTTTGAATGTCAAAAACTATAAAATTTTAGAATAAAGACGGATATTAATATTATTGCATGTATTTTATACACATATAACTTTAAGTTTTCTCTTTTATATATTAAATCCTAAGTTATTACTAGGAACTTCTGATTTTATATATCAAAGAATATTTTCACGCTGTTAACGTACGATTATTTGCTACCTTTAAAAAAAATACGAAATAAAGTGAACAGTTGAAACCTAGTTTCTTTTTCATTAAAATACTCCAAAGATTGTTATAGTAGTGATATTGTCTTACTATTTAAATCCTTGAATAAACAAATAGATACAAATGTATACTATCAAATAAATTTTCTACCAAAAAGTAATTCCCGAAAGTATAAAAAAAACTGTCATTATTATTATTATTATTATTATTATTATTATTATTATTAACAGGGTACATATTAAGTTGCCAGTGTTTTCAGTATATGCCTGTAATATTAGCCACTTTACGTTAAGTAAACACCTGCAAATATAGTCAAGAAAAGTGAAGGTAACGAAATTGAAATTTTTCGGTGGTGTATAAAATGTGTCTTGTAGAATGTCAATGCTGTTGAAGGCTAGTTTTTTGTTGTCGTCTGTAAATGGATGTGTCTTTATAACTTGAAATATGTAAAACACATGTTTTCTAACAAATTTCTATAATAATATATATTGTGTTCGACTTAAAGATTATTTATCAATTTCGTATATCATATATTTTACTTATAATATTTTTGTATTTGTGTGTTTTAAGTATTGTTAAAAATATGTTTAGTTTTGTATGTGTGTATATTTCGCACCTTTATGGGTTGGTAAAAAGGAATACAGATTCATGATGGTATTGTAGGTTTGGCAATTATACCAATTAAATTAAATCAAACATAAAAACATGTGCACACACAAATCTAATCTGTCACGTGAATGCAATCTTCAAAATGTAAGTCTCAACCAAGAGGGAAAAAATGTGTTTCCCCCTCCTATTACTATACAGAATCAAATATTTAATATGGGTTGAATATTTTAAGCAAGTTGTACCCTTCCTTGGCATGGGAAATTATCCGATTAATAACACTAATGATGCGCTATACGCGCTCTGAATGAACAAGCATGCATATATGAACATATTTGATAAAACGGAAATTTTGCAATATTTGCGGCAAATGATTCCCTAGAGAAGGTCCATGGTCTATATCATAGATCTAGATCACCTATCATCGCACTTGGAGCTTTGAATATTTTGTAATCAAAGAATGACTTAAATCTATCAATAATGTTTTTCAAAAGAGAATTTTGATTTGATAAAACAGATTAAGTGATATGTTCCATTTTAAATTTATTTCATTAATATCAAAAGAAGGTGTCGGTGGGATAACCAATTGCCTTTTAAACTATTATTATTTCTGATAGGAAGTCGTGAAAATTTGAAACATCAATCTTTGTGGTGCTTAGTCTTATCCGCCACGCGACGATTTATTTGCCTTAAATAAGTTCTCTCAGAACAATTGTCAATTCATGTAATACTTTTGAACGGGCTGAAAGGATTTGAAATTGAACCCCCTTTAGAATTTTCCCTTCAGTATTTCGTAGGTGGTGATACAATTATTCAGGTTTCTATGTAAAAAGATTTTTTTACTCAGCCAATATTTGTTCTGTCTGCAGAAGGTACACCATCTGCCAATATTAGAGAACCAATATCAAAATCTGTCAGATTAATCAGTCCAAATTCAAGTTTAATGAAAATTTAAATCTAACATATATCAAACAATTTATGTCGTTTTTGGATGAAAATTGAGATTTAAAAAAAAATAAAATTCAGATTTACGAGACCAAATGAACGTGAATTAGCTATGAATCAAGTCGGATAAACACACTCATTACACTCAAAAGGATAACTATTCTATAAATTTCTGTATTTTTCTTGCAAAACAGAGCATGTAGTTGTCCTTTAAATTATGGGTGTCCTGATAAAAAAATTAGAACCGGATAGTTTTCAGAATAATAAAGACACATTTTTCCGTAAATAAAGTTATTGTACTGTGTACTTTCAATGTTACATTAAAAATGTGAACATCAGAAAGCTTAATTACTGCATTCGGTTTTTGTACATTTTGAGAAATCTACCGAATCCCAGTTTCAAACAGAAATTAGACAAAAGTTTCTTCCCATTCGTTTCACATGAACTTTTACTGCTCTTAAGCAGAGACTTTCTTATTATGGTTAAAAAAATAAGACAGATTTGTTCTTCATCGGGATCATAAAACATATAGAGAAGCAAACAGTCTTATTTATGACAATTCTCAAATAATGGTTCTCCGTATCGTAGAACTTTATACATAAATGTGTTATGAATAATCAAAATGTTTTCTAATGTGTAAATTAAATACAAAAGTGTTATTTACTTTTGTACTAGTAATCGAATTAACTTGATTTTGTCAGGTTTATTACGTTGTTAAGTGATATCCGTACATCAAAGTCGCGTAGAAATTCGCACCCTTTTGACACATACGGTACAGTTACGTACACCGGAAGACCTACATGAGAGAAAATCACCAAATAAAACCGGTTAAGTCGTAATTGTCCGGAAAAGTTTTGAAATACAAATGAACATTTATATGCAGTAAAACTAATATTTATTCTATTATTCTTAATTTTTTATTATCTTCGATTATTTGTTTACATAAACCTGTCAATAAAAATTAAATCAACGATACATGTTTTATGATGACAAATTTCAACACCATAAACATAGACGGGAAAGCGTTTGCTTTCATGCCGTCACGGTTCATTAGTTATAAAATCCCCAAAAATTAAATAATTCAATTAACGAAAATGAACATGATGACATAAGAAAACGGTTTCGTTGTAGGTGGTAAATTGAAAACAAATTAGAATAAATAAACTAATTTACTAAAATGGTTTTTGTGGTTTTCAAGTTCGGATGAACAAAAATTACATATATTTTCATAATAGAGAATGCTTACATAACTTATTATTATTAGTTGTAAAAAAAAAATATGTAAGAGAAATCATCATAGTACATTATTGTATACTCAAGGACCAAGTATAAAATGATTAAATTCCCTTAAAATAATATTGTCAACCAAAAATCTTAATTTCAAAACGAAGCTTTACATATGATTAATCAATGGTGGTGCGGTGCTTTTTTTGTTTAAACTGGGCACTCCTTCGATTATGTTGTGTGAATCCATAGATATAATAGCCATTATATCTATGGTGGAGCCAACAAATAAAAACTTATATTGTACTCAAACTTTTCCGGTCGTGTGAATTTTCTATTTTGCATAAATTGCTTTTTACTTGACGGAATGAATACATCAAAGTGCACATGAGGACTAAACGAAAAGTAGAAAGCAATACAATCCCAAATATTGAAAACAGACATTAGTTTTAAAGGAATAGGCATGTCAGGTTCGCAGAGAGTGCTTGCAAAAGCAAGCGTTTTCAGGAACAAAGCAGAAAGAATTAAAGAATCATTATTTTATATTAATAAATTACAAGAAAAACCGGGGCGACGTGAAAGAAAATAATGATATGATGGTATTTTAGGGTATTTGATTACGCATGGGGATATCTTTTGATTTATTTATACCGAACCTAGTACCTCGGTATATATCTTACACAAACAGATAGAAAATCAATCGAACTCGCACCTCAACAAATTAGAAAATAGTCTGGACAATGAATTTCTGATTAAATTGTTTGATGAAAGCAATTTACACCTGTTTTTATCAGATAATTGCGCAATTTCTACAGAGATTATCAACCTAGGGACGAGTAAAAGTTCATTGTTAACATGAGTCTAGTACGATTAGCATGACTGTGTCAATCGTCTTGTAATATTTCGCAATGAAAAAATATTTACAAGATATGAAAGGGACTGAACCCTAGAGATAGAGACACAAGTTTTTATAAAGGGGCAATTGGAGAAATAAAGAAATATTTTTTTTCTGTTTCAATTTTTAAACCAATTTTCAGACACTCATTTGGTAGGGTTGATTTCAACGTTAGCCACTCGATTATTCAAATGCCTTAACGCACTGTAAAACAAAAATATCAATATTGTCCCAGAACTGTTACATATCTTATTATCAAATAAAAGAATTAACACTAGGTTGTTTTAATACTAACAAGATTTAGAAAATATTTAGATGTTTCTTCATGATTTATTTAATCATAATGTTTTCAAAATATACCAACATCATAGCTGATTTATCTTTTGGAACTGTTGGGAAGCAAGTAAATGAGGTTAAAAGTTAACTGACTAAGAAGAAAAAAATGAACAAAAAATAAAAAAGAAATAATAAAATATTAATTATGGAAATAAAACAGTAGACACACATGCACCACTGTTTATTTTGTCATTCGACTCTTGAAAGGAATATTGATGACTCTTTATGTTCGACGAACATGGATAATTACTTAGGCTGTGTCTGTTTCTCAATTTGATTTGCTTCAAACTTTTGAAACATACTAGCCAGTCAGGAAGACGAACTGAAACGAATATAAAAAAAAAACACCAAACAATAAATTAAAAAGGCTTTATAATTTCTACACCAATTTTTAACATAAAAATATTGTTAATTGAATCTTTCTAACTAACTTCACATCAATCTATAATTAAATGTTTTTATTTTTGAACAAAATAATTATTAAGGACATACAAAAGTTTAAACCCCTTAACATTCCCGTTTTTTTTCAAACGATATCTCTGAAATATTTATCGCGTTGATCAGTCAGACCATAGATGTAATAGCAATAGATATGGCTATTATATCTATGGTAAGACCATCAAAGACCTACCATCAAACCGGACGTTAAACAATGAAAAATACCATGTTTGCCTCGCTGGTGTTATCTGGTGCAATATTTTAGTAAAGTTATGCATGGAAGTATTATATAAATTAACATAATGTCACGAGAAATTTTTTATATTGTACGAGCTTGCACCTATTTTCTTCTTTTTTGGGGGGTGGGGTAAAGGGGGGCGCTCTTGATAAAGTACGGGTTATTGTGCAAAATACATTACTGTTAATTTTAACATAGATTTTTGAATGTTCTGTATCTCACTGTTTTATTCAAATATAAGATGGTATAAAAAGCAGATGTTCATCTATCCATTCTTAGCATTGTCTCACGAAGAGTTTTGAAATAAATCCTAAATGATTGTTTTGTGGATTGAAACTGATTACCAAAAAAAAATAAGAAAAAATATATTCTAAGCTTTTTCAAGATGAATAAAACTATATTGTGACCCCAGTAATAAGAAACAGTTTATGCTCAAAACATATGAACTCACAGAAATTAATTTTAAGATATCTTCTTGGTTTTATTGTGTTGAGACGTTTGCTCAATTGTTGAATGACAGTAAACAGTGGGGTGTTAAGGATAACAGCCTATAGACTTGAATATGTTATATAAGAATTTAATCAAACAGCATAAACCTAATAGGTATCTGATCGCATAGAAATGACGATGCCACACACGCAGGATAAAATCATACATCTAAAAATGTTTGCAACTGTACCTATAAGAGATAGATACGAATACTAATAAGATCATATCATATATAAACGAAAAGAAAAAAAACAAAAATCGGCAAATGGTCAGTGTAGCTGGTCTTAGCCTACGCCAATATGGGTATGTGTGCGTGTGTTATTTAACCACACACAGAGACCGATACTGAGATAGACCATTTGTTGTGCCGAAATAGTTATCGTTCTATAAATAGAAACCGTTAGCAATGTATATTGATTTACTCTTATGTATATTTTCTTCTACAGGAAAGACCAGAACCAAAGACAAATATCGTGTTGTATACAGCGACCATCAACGTTTGGAACTGGAGAAAGAATTCCATTACAGTCGTTATATAACAATTCGTCGAAAGGCCGAACTCGCTCAGAACTTAGGCTTGTCAGAGAGACAAGTTAAAATATGGTTTCAAAATCGCAGAGCTAAAGAGCGGAAGCAGAATAAAAAACGAGGTGACGATATTAAAATAGAAGAATATCACAATGAGACTTCCGGTCATATTCCAAACATGCAACACCAAGTACACAGCTCACAGACACCTACAATGCAGCAGGTTACAATAAAACAAGACCCTATTGACGATTATCCCGTTCCTCACGTGACGATGCAAATTCCAATGTCCGATCCCTCTGATAATCACGCATCAACATCGCCAATCCAGACTCCTCATCACATGACAAGCTCAGTATCGGACACTATGTCAAACATTAAAGTAGACACCGGGGAACCTCCGAATGTTATTCAGTCATAGAAATATTGCATCTATATTTATTGAACTTTGCTAAAATTCGAGCTCAGCTTCCAACATCTTGCCAGATTATTTTTTTTTAAACAAAGATGGTTTAATGTGCAGAGTTTGGGTTATGTAACCATGACAATACTGAGATTAATTAGAAATATGAAGGAGACCCATTTATATGGATAAAAGTAGAAACATTGTTATGTTTTGTAAATAATATTCTATATTAAACAATTAATGTTAAATTCAATTCAATATTGAGATGGACAATAATAATAAAAAAAAAATACACGAAATACAAATGTGTGAACAATAAATTTGCCATAGATATGAAAACTGTCGCCAAGTCTTATTTAATTGTCAACAAGTTGTATTTGTTTATACACTGGAAGAGTATCGAATTTGTATAAGAGGTTCGAGTTGGAAATTTATTGTTTTATTACCGGGTCTAAATCACTCCAGTTCATCAAAATACTATCTTTTATTGCCCTCTTAAAACCCGAGATAAGCTAGGAACACATTTTAGAGTGCTATTCCAACATGACTTGGAGTATTTAACATATTCCACAAGGCTCAGCGATATCACCCGACTTCTTTGCACGATACGGCACTTTTGATAGTTCGATTTTATGGTGTTTGTGTAAATCAATATTACCTAATTACAAATTCTTATGATAACAAATACCGAAGCAAATGTAGTCTTAACTTTTTAGATTACAATAGCATAGAAATAGGAAGAACAGGATACGCCGTGGTATATGTCAATGATTATAATTTTAGGAACATTAATGTTGTATAACAAGAACGGCGTCATTGGGGATACACTGTTGCAGATATGATTATAAAATGGTTATGGGTCTGAAATAGATGATCAACATGAATATACATATATATAGATAGGTACCAGAATCATGACTGCATCATATATCATGTTTCCTTTTTATGTTGGTGATGATCAACGTGTGCAGTATCATGGTAGCTTTTGCCAAAAAAAAGTCTTAAGTGAACAGGACTGAAAATGATTAACATCGTTTTAATACACGAATATAACTAAAAGGCTAGAAATATATGCTTGTAAGAACTAACTTACTAGGAGTTGTCAAAAATTATTTTAATTTCCGCTTTCAGGAAAACACTCCCGTTTAAGCAAAAACAAACGAACGCTTGTCGTTAGACAGTTCAGCTTTTTCCAGATTTTGCTAATTTTAATGGTGTTTATAGTATAACTGAATATGAGAAACTAACTTAAAATCTTCAACAATAGACTATATCAAATCTCATACTCTAGATCGACAATTTAAAAATGAATTTAACAATGGTTAACGAGATCTGCCGTCGACGGCATATTCTCTTAAGACAAAAACAAAGAAGCAAATAGAAATATCTATAGAGATAACAAAGGAGGGGGGAAACTGACTTGATTTATGTAGGAAAGGTGTGGGTAAAAAATAGATGTGAGGTTTCAACCTCCGTTTCTATCTTGTCAAATTAAAATAAAACTCACAAAAACATACAGAACGTATACTGTAAAAACAAGCTTAGAAAAGTTCCCGAACTCAATGGTATTGGTATAAGAAGGACAAAAATACCTAAGTACAATAAACTAACTTCAAATATATGATATCAGAAAAAAATTGCAGTTGCTGAAAGTAAGTACTTGATCTGCTGATATATGGGAGACGCAGACGACTTAATTTGTGACGCACTTCGTAGTTAAATGGACGATATTTCGGTCACATTATGGAAATTTGTAACTACCCGGTATTGGACTATGCTAAGATCTCCTGTTGCAACAAGAAACATAAAATTATTCAAACCTCGTATTGGTGCAATTTTTTTTTTTATAAAATGATGATTTTGTTTTCAAATCAAATTTTAAAGTAAGTGAAATATATTAAAATACAATGATTCGGTTAGATTCTTGTAATAGTGAGACAGTATATATAGTTTGACGTTATCAAAAGAACACAAATTCAAGTTTAGAAAGATAACGTTATGGATCTCCTGATCTGCTTTTTTATGACAATCTTATAAGATCTAATTTAGTTTTGGCCTACCGAAGTTCGTTGGTTCTCTCCGGGGACTCCGGCTTCCTTCGCCTATAAAAAATGACTGCCACGAAATAGCACAATAGTGCTGAAAGTGACGTTAAACACCAATCAATCGACCTATTAATCTAATTCAACTGTGTACTAGAAAAAAAATATTTTGCAAAGTACATTTTCCATTCCGTTTTTTTTTTATAATCTGGACGATTTCGAAGAAGATAAATGATGGCTCCGTTTATCATGATTAACACGTCGACAGTGTGATCTTTCAGAGACCAGGATTAAACCATCAATTGGTGAGGTTTTAAAGCAAAACAACAGAAATTTGAAGTATACGTCGATGTAACAGCAATCCAACAACAAAATACTAAGAAACATCTAGAGTACAAAAAGCGTTTTCAACAATAGAAAGGTGTCTATAGATACAAAATGTCTAGCTTTATATCACCACGAAGAAACAAAAGTAGCAAATATATTTGAGAGTGAATATCTAAGATCTACCACCAATACCTATTCTGACCCCTCCCTCCCCCCCAAAAAAAAGATAGGAAAGAAAAAAGAAGGAATGCCATTAACGATGAGGTTCATAGATTTGGACAGACACATGACCATTTGGCGGGGTTGATCTTGTAACCCCAACCCTCGCTTTTCATCTCGTTGGGTGCACCTATAACAAAAATTTCGCAAAAGAAAACACAATGAAAATCAGTACTAGAAAAGCATTTGACACAAAGACAAATAAATAGAATAAAAACAAACAAAAATTCACGATATTATTCAGTATCAAAGAACGCGTGCAGTTACTTAAACTGGTACTGTCACAATGATTCCCGGTCTCATACGGTTATCATACATTGAAAGGTATAGATAAAGAAGAGAGGTAGTCCGTGATATGGCACACAAGGAGCATAGTACAATATCAAACAGTATTTAAGACAAAAAACAATAAAGTACAAAGTATAAAGTACAAACAGTTTGTATAGTCATTATATATCTCTCCCTGTATAAATATAGAATTGAGAATGGAAACGGGGAATATATCAAAGAGACAACAAGCCGACCAAACAGGAGAAAACAGCCCAAAGCCACCGATGGGTTTTCAACGCAGCGAGAAAATCTAACACCCGGAGGAGGGCTTCAGAAGGCCACTAAACAATCATGTATACTAGTTCAGCGAAATAGACGCCACACTAAACTCCGAAAAATATGAATGATTCAAGATTAATAAAAAGCACACAATACTTACAAAGGCTAAAGATTCTTTACTTAAGAAAGGCGCAAAAATGCATGTTTAAACATGTTTTGTGAGATCTCAACCCTCCCCTATACCTCTAACCAATGTTGAATAAACAAACACACAGCAATACGCACAGTAAGAAACGAGTCCGATGTTAAAGTAGGTTACAGAAGAATCTAAGCAAAATGAAAATGATTTACACAACGTAACAAAGAACTACTAGCAGTTACTGACATGCCAGCTCCAGACCTCAATTAAACTGATTGAAAGATTATGTCTTCATCATATGAAAATCAAGCACAATCCCTCCCGTTAAGGGTTTAGTATCATGCCATCATAAATTATAAGAGAGGAACATAACCCGTAGAATTCAAGCAACTGGTTTTAGAATAAATGTGTTTATTTCCGATGCAAAGACCCACGAGTGAATCAATATTAATTAAAAAATGCCATCTTTAATGACTTAGCAAAAGTATCGTAACTATATCCATTGTGAATAAGTCTGTTTGGTTAGCTTTTTAGGTAAATGACATTTTTGTGATTTGTATAGAATTTTACCATAAAAGATGGGATGTGAAATACCTGACCGTATAAGATGTCTGCACGTTGATTTATATTGAAGAATGATGTCCTTGTAGCGATGATAAAATTGAGTAAAAGTTTTGACAAGTTTGTGATATCGAAAACTCTGGTGTAATCATTTTTCAGTAAAACAGAGATTTCTTTCGTTAAAATCAAATATGGTCCATACACGAGCGAATCGAACAATTTGAGATATATAAACACCATACGATGGTGCCAAGGGAACGTCACCATCTACAAACGGATATTCAACATTAGGAAATAAAAAATCATCTCTTTTATCGTAAATTTTAGGTTAAAGCTCCAGTTCAAGATATAGATATCAAGATCCAGAAAAGGGCAGTGTTCATTGTTAGTATTAGCTTTATTTAAAGTGAAGTCGTCATTCTTGAGAGCCAAAATATCATCCAAAAAGTGTCATTAAATTTTTGCATCAGATGTTGTTTCGATTGGTCTTTTCTGATTTTAGACATAAAGTGTGATTCTTAACAATACAGAAACAGGTCCGCAATAAGTGGTGCACAGTTAGTCCTTATTTGAAATCCGATAACTTGGCGATATAAATAGCGAACAAAAATGTCATCTCGTAAAGGTTAAGTGTAGTTTTATCAAAGCAGGTCCAATTGACATAGTTCTTTTTGTTTGATGTTAGGTAATAAAAAATGACCTAATATCTTTTTAAATACCCATTTAATTAGGTATGTGCATTTTTCTTAATGAAATTATGAGGCAAAGTGGTATATAGGGTAAAAAAATCTAAAATTTTGAAACAGATTCGAAAACACCAATATGAGCATGCAATTTATCAAGTACTTCCAATAAATTTTTGACACTCCAAAAGTAATTAATTCCACTATTTTTGTAGACCTTATTTGAAAAATTTATTACAAGGTTTTTTATTGTACCAAATGTATTAGTAAGTAGAATAGACAGTCAAGTAGTGGAACTATGACTTGAAGAAGAAATAAATCTATATTTGTAAGGTGTTTTGTGCAGCTTCGGAAGCCAGTACATAGTTGGAACTTTCATGTTATTCGGTTCTGCTTGTAAAGTGATATCTAAAAGTTTATGTTTGTTAACGATGTCATTTTAATCGCCTCGTTGGTCTCGTGGTTGCGTGTTCGCATCGAGTGCTGGAGGTCGTGGGTTCGAACCCCGGCCGAGTCAAATCAAAGACTTCAAAATTGGTATTTGCTGCTTCTCCGCTAAGCACGCGGCATTAGGGAGTAAGAGCAAAGACTAGTCGGCTCGGAGTCGGAATAATGTGTCCGGGTAAGGTGACATGTTTTCCTGCGGACTGTTACCTTGTGAACTAGCACGTTAAAATGTCGTTGATGTAGAACAGGAATAGTGAAGACCCAAGGACTAAGCCTTGGAGTACCACAGACTCTACATCAATATGTGATGAGCTCTCTCCATTCAC